AAGGAGGCGGGGCCCAACGGACGCCCCGCCCCTTCTTAAAGGAAAGTTGCCACCCGATGCCACTGGGCCGACCCCTTAAAGGACCCCCACCCATTTTCCAAATCCGGCCCCTCTGATCCTCTCCACCCCTGCCCTGCCTGGGGCTGTTCTTACTTTTCTCTTTTCCTTCAACCAACCATTCCTTAAAGGGCCAAGACATTAAAACCCCAACCCGACAGGTCCTTCCCCCACCCCTTCTGTGTAAGAACCTGAGGTCACCCCGCTCTTGTGGGCCGGCCGGGCTCCAGACATCTCTGCTCGTCCCACTAATGGTCTGGTTCTCTCCGGCCACAGGGCGGATGGGAGGACTTCGATCCGGCCCGGAACGCGTCTCCGCCAAGGCCCGGTCCATTAGCGCCCCCACCGCATCCTGCCTTCCCCCTCCTCCCGAAGTCTGCGCCGGGAAACTGAGGACGGGCCGTCCTTGGGGCACCGGGCCCAGGTCTTTCCTCGGCCCTCATCCAGTTCGCGCTTCCACCTGCCCATTTCCAGTCGCATCCATTAAGACCCAGTGAGGCTTCCTAGTCTGTACTGACCCTGGTTCCGACTCCACCTCTCCCTCCAGAAACTCGGGCCCCTGGGGGCTGGAAGTCTGTCACCTCTTTCATAAAAGTCTGTTCGCACCTCATTAATCTCTTTAAGGCACTGGGATGAAAGGAGAGAGAATCCTGCAGCTCCCACCCTCCTGTCTCCAGCCTTTGGTGCTTAGTGTCTACAGAGGTGACAGACGCCCCAGAGCCCCCAGGCACAAGTTAGGCTCTAAGCTCCCAGATTCCCAGTACACACACCAGGGAGCCCAGGAGGATAGCCCCAGGAGCCCACACTGGCACAGATGGCCCTGTGGGGACCTGGCCCCACCTGCTGGTGGCTTCTGAGCTAGAAAACCTCAAGTTGCGAAGTGGGCTGTGCTTTAGGGGCTGGGGGACCAGATGAAATCAGTGGCTCAGCCTGGTATTAGAGTCTCAAATTCAAATTGGAATTGGGATTCATTCCAGGTCGGCACCACAGTTGGGATGGGATCTCAGACTGGGGTCAGAAGCTTCGCCGAGGGGTCAGCAACCCAGTAGGGGGTCTGGGACTCAAACTAGGGTCCAGAGGTCAGGCCTAGTCTGGGGTCAGTGCTCCAAGTGGAGGGCTCAACCAGAGATTAAGGCTCAGTGTAGGTTGAGGGTCAGAAGGGAATGGGGAAGTCTGGGTTTCAGGCTGATGTCGGGGCTCAGCTGCAGGTAGGGGGACTCAGCCGAAGGTTGGTGTTCAGTCCATTGACAAGTTCAGCCTGGCTTCTGTGCATGGGCTTCTAGTTGCCTCGCTCGAGGGAGGGAGGCTCCGCCTAAGGCTGGGATTCAGCCCAGGGTCATAGGTCATCCTAGGGCCAAGATTTAGCCTGGGGCTAGGTTTAGGCCTCCTAGGATCAGGAAGATTAGAACCGGACAGGCTTCGGCAGATGCGTGTGTTTACCAAAAATCTGTGCTCTGGCTAGGAGCCACTTCCCCGGGGTGAAAAGGGGAAGTCCGTCCTTGGGGATATTGGGATATGTAGTTTATTGAATGCCCTGTTGCGCTGTCTGCTCTCACTGCATTCTGGGTAACGTAGTCCTGGACAGACCTTCAGTTGGGCGTGGATGAAGGAGTTCCGCTTCAAGGGCGGGATATCAGATCCATCACAATTGGTTAGGTGGACTGTTTGTCAAATTACATCGGGACAATCTTTCTAATGATTGGTGAGAGCGGAGGTGGGGTTAAGCATTATCAGCACCCCATTCGGAGCCGGTGTTGTCTGTTTGGTGTCGTGCGGGGGTGGGGGAATGCGGATTTTCTAGGAAAGAGTCGCTGATTGGCTGGGCGGGCTGGAAATGCCGGAAGGTCGGCCCTCACCGTACGGCGATTGGCTCACCCGTTGGCGGTGGGGGAGTCAGAGGCGGTACAGGGGAGGTGGTGGCTCTAGAGATGGCAGTGAGCGAGAGGAGGGGGCTCGCCCGCCGGAGCCCCCCGGAGTGGGGGCAGCTGCTACTTCTGCTGCTGCTCTTGGGTGGCTGTTCTGGGCGCATCCACCGACTGGCGCTGACGGTGAGTCCCGCCGCGCGGCGGACTGGGGCGGGGGGCGCAGTGTTGTCTCGAAGAAGCCCCTGGTTTGGAGTGGTCTCGTCCTACCTCCCCCTCGTCTTACGTGGGATGGAGCGGTCCGGCGCCCCCCGCCTGCAGGCCCGGAGTGGTCTCGTCCGAGGAGTCCCTTCAGTCCTCTGGTGGCGCAGCCTGGCTGGCAGTGTTAGGACTGTGCCCCGCCCGTTGGGGGGGTGGGTCTTCAGCTCCAGGGAACACCCCACCCCCTCCCGCCCGCCCCTTAGTCCTCTAAATTCTTGAGATTGCTCTGGGGCCGCTGGCACCTTTGGCGCCGCCCAGGGGAGTCCCTGGGGTTTCTAGGATTGGGTTCTCTGGGCACTCACTGGGATCTTGGGGACTCATTTGGAATCTACAAACTGGGAGGTCAGAGCTCGGCGCACCAAGATAAATAACTCTGCTCTTGGGGTGGTGCTCACCAAGTGCGGAGACTTGCAAATGCCCCAGGCTTTCTTTTGCTGGACTCTCAGAATGGTGGCTGGAGGATGTGGGGCTACCCTGTTCCTCCCCGGGGGATTGGTCTGGGGACATGGCCTCCGGGAAGGCCCTCTCAGCCTCTCCCATTACTCTTTGGACCTGTCCTCAATCTAGGGGTACCAGGAGGGGGCCGAGCTCTTAGGGGGACCTCGCGCCAGAGCCGTGGGGCTGAGTTGGAAAGAAGTCTGAGCTGCCGCTGCCTCTTCCTCCTTGGTCTCCGGCAGGGGGAGAAGCGAGCAGACATCCAGCTGAATAGCTTCGGCTTCTACACCAATGGCTCCCTGGAGGTGGACCTGAGCCTCCTGCGTCTGGGCCTCCAGGAGACAGAAGAGAAGGCCCCGCTGGTGAGGGGCTTTGAGGAGTTTGCTGGAGCAGGGCGAAGAGCACAAGTTTCCAAGCCCCCTGTCCTCAGTTTGTAGCTCTGCCCCTCATCCATGTGGTCTTGGGCAAGTGCATTGGCCCCTCTGAGGCTCCTCATCTGTAACATGGGAAAAACAAAATCTCTTGCCATGTATGCCAGACCCTGAGCTTGGGTTGGTGGAGGGAGGGCATTATTACATCAACATTTTAATTGGGTGAAAACAGGATGGGCTAGGTCCAGGGGACCGGCGAGGGTCTCCCTAGGGAAGTGACATCCACGTAGAGTGGCTCGAGATGGTTAGGAGTTAAAGAGTATGAGAAGCCAGGGGCAGGATGGTGTGTTGGGAAATTCCATGAGTGAATGTGGGACCTAGTACATAGTAGGTGTTCAGTAAATTTGAGGCTACATTTCTGTTGCTACTAAAAGAGGTGCCTTGGCGAGGTCTTTGCGCAATCTCTCATTTTGTCCCTTTTTCTTTCCACCTGCCAGGTGGGGTTCAGTCTGACTCGGGTTCGATCTGGCAGTGTTCGATCCTACTCAGTGAGTGGAGGGGGAGGTAGGGAGGGGGTGAGGAGGGCCTGGGATGTCTGTCCTTTACATCTGGAGCCCAGAGGCCCTCCTTTCCCAGAAGAGGGGAGCAAGAAGTGACCCTCCCTTGTGGGGTACACGGGGAGGAGGCAGGGTGGGGGTGGGTTAGTGGGAGTTGGTAACCAAGGTGCCCTCTGACCCACTCCCCAGACCCGGGACCCCCACGACTGTCCTCTCTGGAAAAACAGTAGCAACCTCCTGGTTCTCTTCCTCATCAACACCAAGGATCTGCGGTAAGTTGATGGGCCAGGGGCTGCATCATTTGTGTTTCCCTGGGTGTGATACCCACGTGAGCTGATCAGGTGCAATGAGAAGCCAGCCGGAAAGAACCTCCGTGCTCTTAGGAAGAAAGCCACCGTGCTTTTCAATTTTGCCTTCCAGCCTTCTGGTTACGGGAAGGAGGGAGAGGGGCAGGGTACCCAGAGAGTGTTGGGGTCTCAGGGCAGAAGACACGGACACAGAGGAGTGTTGTGAGAATTGACAGCAATAGTTAATGCTTGTTGAACGCTTCCTGTGTGCCAGGCAGCATCCTGCGAGCTTTTACAGGTGTGAACTCATCGATTCTTTATACTATTATTCTCCCCATTCTAAAGAAGAGGAAACTGAGGCCCAAGAACTGGGATTTGGACCCAGGCAGCCTGGCACCAGAGTCCCACAATACCATGTAGCCTGCCTGTAGACACATTTTCATTTAAAACAATGCGCTGAAGTAGAATGAGTAAGTCACTGTCACGGGAAGTGACATTCACGGGTGCAGGCAGTTCATAGATGTGGCAGTCGTCTTGACGGGTGGTGGCCAGTGCTGGAATTGTGTGACCACTGATTCAGCCTGGTGCCGCCCTCAGAAAGGAGATCCCAAGGGCCCAAGGGGCCATTGAGTTCCTCTGCACAGGTCATGCACATGACCCAAGCCTTCAGCCTCACCCTCACGGTCCCCACCCTCACCCCAGGGTCCAGGTGAGGAAGTATGGAGAGCAAAAGAAGCTGTTCATCTCTCCTGGGCTCCTCCCCGAAGCACCTTCTGAACCAGGGCCCTCAAATCCAGTGCACACCGTCACCCCTAACGTGGACAGCGGTGAGTGAGGCTGGCCATGTGAGCGGGGAGAGTGTAGATGGCTAGGGCTGTTCTGGGCCGCCTCCCGTTTTTCTGCTGTCCATTTGTCCACCCATCTCTAAACTCATTCACTTGTCCCCTACAGGGGCCACCACTACGCTTGACAAGGCCAAGTCGAAACCCACAGTGTCCCAGGGAGATCAGCAGGTTCGGGGAAGGTCTCTTCAGGGGCATATGGCGACCCAGGCCAGGGGCCAGCTAATGCTCCATGCAGCACTCTGTCCCCTCAGGGCCCCAGTGGGAAGGACAAGGAACTGATCCTGGGTCTCGGGCATCTCAACAACTCCTACAACTTCAGCGTGAGTGTCTGTGAGCGCCTGGGGCCCCACCTCCTCCCAGAGTGGGGACTCCCAGGCTGAGGCCTCCACTCCCCCTGTCTGCCCCCCACCCCCCCAGTTCCACGTCGTGATCGGCTCTCAGGCGGAGGAAGGCCAGTACAACCTCAATTTCCACAACTGTTACAACTCCAGGCCGGGCCAGGAGCAGCCGTTTGACATCACGGTGAGCAGATGCAGGGCGGCTTTGCCACATCCTCCCTGAGGCCATGCTGTGGACCGGTAGACCGATGTACCCACCTGGGACATGGGAAGACCGAGGCACGGAGAGGGGGAGCTTGAGAGTGGGAGAGTGAGACTCACACTCATGGCTCTGCACGTCCAGAGCTGGTATGCCATCCCCACCGCTGCCCCCTCCCCAGGTCATGATCCGGGAGAAGAACCCTGAGGGCTTCCTGTCAGCGGCAGAAATTCCCCTTTTCAAGCTGTATATGGTCATGTCTGCCTGCTTCCTGGCTGCTGGCATCTTCTGGGTGTCCCTTCTCTGCAGGAACACGTAATGCCTGGTTGGGGGGAGGGGGTCCCCCACCTCCTCTCTTCATACCCTCCCATCCCTGCCCCTAACTAATGCCCTCCACCCCCTTCTGTCCGTGACCTTCCCCACCCCCCACCAGGTACAACGTCTTCAAGATCCATTGGCTGATGGCAGCCCTGGCTTTCACCAAGAGCATCTCCCTCCTCTTCCACAGTGTGAGAGCAGAAGGGCGTGGGCTGGGGTCTCTGGGTCCAGGAAGAAGCCCAGGCAGCCCACTCCCCAAATCTGTGCAGACCCTGGGCTTGGGAGCTCATTTGTCCTACTGTCCACATGGCCAGCCATTTTTGCACTGTGGCCTCCAACTGTCCACCCAGCCCAGCTGTCTGCCTGTCCTTCTGTCTGGCTGTGACTGTCCACTGGCCCAGCTGTGACTCCCATGCCTTTGTCACGGCTGTGACTGCCCAGCCGTCATCCCAGCCATCCACCCCTATGTTGTCACGGCCTTTTCTGAGTCCACCTGCCATCCTGGTCATAACCGTCAGCTCTGTCCACTTTCTGACCACCATGCAACAGTGATCGTCCATGTTCCTAAGCCATCGCTAGCCTCCCAGTTGTCACTGTCCACCCACCCATCCGTCCATCTGTCTGACTGTCCATCCGTCCACCTCCAGATCAACTATTACTTCATCAACAGCCAGGGTCACCCCCTCGAAGGCCTCGCTGTCATGCACTACATCACACACCTGTGAGTGCCCTTCTCTGCGGCAGGTTGGGGGGTGGGCTGGGGAGGGTCGGGCACCCCCTCTTACCACACACACTCCCCAGGCTGAAGGGCGCTCTCCTCTTCATCACCATCGCCTTGATCGGCTCTGGCTGGGCCTTTGTCAAGTACGTCCTGTCAGACAAGGAAAAGAAAATCTTTGGGATCGTGATTCCCCTGCAGGTGCACAGGAGGCCCCAGGCCAGTGGGGGGGGGAATGGGACCAGGCACACCTTGGCCCTTGGGGCACACCTACCCAGCCTACACCGCCCCCAGGTCCTGGCCAACGTGGCCTACATCGTCATTGAGTCCCGTGAGGAGGGCGCCAGCGACTACAGGCTCTGGAAGGAGACCCTCTTCCTGGTGGACCTCATCTGCTGTGGCGCCATTCTCTTCCCTGTGGTCTGGTGAGGATCCGACACGTGACCCCCGCTGGAGGCTGAGGACCCCCCCCCCTCCCCACCCAGGCCACCACAAACATGGCCAGAGGTAGTGCTGACAGCTTCCTGTGTCCCCTGCCCCATTCCAGGTCTATCCGGCATCTCCAGGATGCATCGGGCACTGATGGAAAGGGTGAGGCCCTGGTCCCAGGACCTCCTGGGCCCCCAGCCCATGTCCCGCTCCAGGACCCTCTTTCTGCTCCCTGGATGTCCCTTCCGTCCCTGCCGCCACTGCCTTCCTGCCTCTCTACCTTGCTTCCCGTCCAGCGCTCCCCACCCCAAACATCCCCCTCCACGTTTCCTGCCCCTTGGCCCCTCACCAAGATGTTCTCCCAGTCCCCAGACCTCCTCCACACCTCTCCCTTTCCCCGTGCCCCCAGCCTCCTTCCCCTAACCCCCCTCTCTGTGTACACCCTCAGTGGCAGTGAACCTGGCCAAGCTGAAGCTGTTTCGGCATTACTATGTCATGGTAGGAGCCCCATTCTCACTCGGCACTCGGCGGAGTTTTGTGGTCTTCGGGGGGATTTTTTTTTCCGGGGGTTACAACCAGCCCATTGGCATACCCACTCTAACCCCTCCGTCTGCCATCAGCCAGCCATCACTCAGCCTCAACGCCCTGCCCTCTTGTCTCTGTCCCGGCAGATCATCTGTTACGTCTATTTCACGAGGATCATCGCCATCCTGCTGCGGGTGGCCGTGCCCTTCCAGTGGCAGTGGCTGTACCAGGTGGACACGGGGGCCATAGGCAGATGGGAGGGTGGGCCAGACAGCTTTGGGGGCGGGGGTGCAGGGGGCGTGCCTGACACTCCTCCTGCCCTTGCCCTGCAGCTCTTGGTGGAAGGCTCCACTCTGGCCTTCTTCGTGCTCACTGGCTACAAGTTCCAGCCTGCAGGCAACAACCCATACCTGCAGCTGCCCCAGGAGGACGAGGAAGACGTGCAAATGGAGCAACTGTGAGCCCTGGGCCTCAGGGGCTGGTGGGGGGCACGGGCACAGGAGTCCTGGAGGCAGGGTGGGCGGGGCCAGCGCTCGGGGGGCGGGGCCGGGGAGCTCTAGGAGCGGATTTGAGGGCCATCGGGGGCGGGGCCTAGTCCCCCTCAACTCCTGAGCCGCCTCCTGGTGATCTGCCTCTAGAATGACCAATTCTGGGTTCCGGGAAGGCCTGTCCAAAGTCAACAAAACAGCTAGCGGGCGGGAGCTATTGTGATCATCCCGGCATCTGGGACCAGCCCTCCGTCCCCCGCCTGCTCCCACCCGCTCCACACACACATTCCTCACTCCTGCGGGCTCCCAAAGCGCCAGGAGCAGGAGGAGGAGGGCGCCCGGGGCGCATGCTGCGCCTGGCTCCCTGAGCCTTGAGTCCCCAGAGCCCATTCAGAAGAGAGCCCCCCCTCTTCCCCCAAGTATTGGGCAATCCTGTCCCCGCCCCGGAGCCATCTGCCGCTTGCAGTTGCACAATAATGACCGATCTGTTTTGCTAGCCTGGTTTCTTGCTTTTCTGGGTGTTGAGATCTAACACGGAGGTTGTGCTTACAGTTGAGAAACCTGTATTCGTGGGGGGGTGGGGGAGGTTTCAGTCTCCGTTGCCCCCCACACTCAGTAAATGTCATTCGAGCAACTGCTACACGTCAGGCCCTGAACCCGGTGCTGAGGACAGAGCAGTGACCCAGGCTCGACCCTCAAGGGGCTCACGGTTGGGGGAAGGGGCCAGGCAGGGATAAGGATGAGACCATCACAGGGCCCTGACCCAGCCTGGGAAGCTGGGGGGAGGTGATCAGAGAAGCAGGGGAGGGACAGCGTGTACAGAGGCTGGAGGTGAGGAAAACTTGCTGGTTGGTAGGCCCACAAGTAGTGGGCACTGAAGTGTCTAACTGTGGCTAACGCTGAACGCCACACCCTCTTCGAAGGCTTCCATTGACCCTGACTCCTATTAAGCCTGTGAGACACAGACAGGCTAAGTAGCTTGCCCAGGGTCACACAGCTGATGAGTTGAGAGACTCGGGGCTCAAAACACTAGCAGTCTGGTTTCAGAGCTGCACTTTACCACGGACCACACTGCCCTTCGGCACGTAGACTCCCTGCGACCAAACCTCCGGCCTCCCCCAACCCACCGCGCCCTTTGTTGTGTGCCCCTGGGTAGGTGGTTTCGCCTCTGTGTCCTAACATGTAAACTGAGGTCCCCATGAGGCCACTGAGTATCACACATGTGATAATGGTGTGAGTGGCTCAGCACAGCGTAACCTTTCGTGGGCTGCCCTGAACCTTGAAGAGGGACCTCAGATTAGCACTGCACCTGTGCACCCACGTGGGCAGCTCCAGAGATGTCATTGTCTCCCCTGTCCCAAACCCCCCTTCAGCCAGAGTGTCCACAGCCCCTTTTGGAGCTCAGCAGACAGTTCTCAGTGGGGGCCACAGGCATAGGATGACGGGTAGAGAATCGGGCAGGGGTCAAGGCTTCCTGCAAACAGAAACAAGTATAACGGGGCCCAGATGAATAAATAGCCCAGCCAGACAAGGAAGTGAGGAGGCATTGCAGACTGAGCAAGTTATGTGAGCAAGCGGAGAAGCCCAGAATAGCCTGCCAGTCCCCCTGCAGGGCTGGCTGACGCCGAAAGGGGGGGGCAGGGAGGGTGGGGGAGCAGCTGGCAGAAGCCTCAAGACAACAGTTGGGACTTCGTGCTAATGCCTGTGGGAGCCAAGAAGGTTACAGCAGGGAAGGACGTGACCATCGAAGTCGGTGCTTTACTCCATGTGCGTGCAGGGGTGCGCAGAATCAAGGCTCCCAAAGGAGTCCCCGTCCTGATCCCCAGAACCTGCGAGGATGTCACATGATGTGACAAAGGGCACTTTGCAGATGTGACTGAGATGGGAGGTGATCCTGGATGACCCAGTGTCATCACCAGGGTCCTTATGAGAGGGAGGCAGCAGGGTCCCAGTCAGACAAGGAGAGCCACAAGGAAACACGTGTAAGGGACGTGCTGTGAGGTTCAGCTGGCCCCCTGAGCCAAGGGGTGCAATGGGCTCTAGAAGCCCAAAAGGGCAGGAAGTGGATTCCCAGTTCCCCCCGTTGGAGCCTCCCTAAGGAACACAGCCCTGCCCACACCTTGACTTCAGACTTCAGCCCTCCAGCCCTGTAAGATAATACATAGGTATTATTTTAAGCCACCAAGTGTGTGGTCATTTGTTACAACAGCAGTCAGAGACTCCTACAGCTTAGGAGCCTGAAGTCTGGACCCCGGCTGCCTGGGTTCAAATCCCAGCTCCTCCCACCTAGAGGATCTGGGCAAGTGTTCAAAGCCCTCAGTCTCTTGGTCTGCAAACCAGGAATGCAGAAGAAACAAGTTTCATGAAATAAAGTGCTGCGTCTGAGTCTCATGGAGACCAACTCATTAGCATGCATTCACGTATTCCACACCATAATTTTGCAGGGTCACAAAGCTGTGTTTTTACACCAAGTCCCCAGTTGCTGTAGAGTAGATGAGCTGAAAGGAGTGATTCTGCAGCAGGGAGGCCACAGACCACAGGGGTGCAGACAAC